TTTTTGAAAATAAAATTAAAAGCCGGGTTGCCGGGTCACTTTCAAAAATTTTATGTTATGAGAACCGATTTATTAAGCTTATATGGCCTTATAAAATCTATTGTATAAATTTTTTTCTTGAATTTTTTTTTTAAATACTGCATATACGTTTACTACTAAGAGCTAAACTTTTAAATTCTAGTAAAATACACTTATAAAAAATTAATTACACTTAGCTTTAACATGAAATCAAATACGTAATTGTGTATATTATACACTTATAGAGAGTGCATGTAAATATGGTTGAATATTCTTGGATGGTAAACATAATGAAAAAGCCTCGAACATCAAAATATACAACATTGACCTACACTATATATGAGTGCCGCCAAGAGAAAACCCGCAAATCTCATCTAATAAGATTTACTGGTTTTCTCTTGGCGGCACTCATATACAGCATATACAGTATTCAGAAATCAGGTTGAAAAGTGATGAGCTTCACTTTGAGAATATATTACATAAATTACTTTGAAATGTTACGCAACGATTTTTTTTTTTTTTTTACTTCGGAACATTTTTTTTTATTATATATTATGTAAAATAAATAAAATATAAGCGTGGCCGGCGGGAGTTTCCGGATTTTTATTATTAGATTTAATTTTTTGGGTTAATGACTGGCTAAGCCAGTTTGGCCGTATCAAAATTATCGACTCAGCTAAGCTAAGCTTGCAAGCTTCTACAATCACTATTTAGTCCTGCTCGGAGTTTGCATACGAAGCAGCATCGTCAAAATCAACATCACCCTAATTTTTTTAAACCATGGTTGGTAAATATGATTGGTAATCATATGAAAATAGAAATCAAAAAAACATACCCGAACTGATCCAGTTCCAGTTGTATTTACTGAAAACAAAAAAGACAAAAAAAAAGAAATTAACCAAAAATGAAAAAATGTAGAATAATATATATATATATATATTTACCCTCCATGCTTAAAAGACTCATATTGTCAGCGACACTTGTACGATCATCATCAACCGAAGCAACCGATGATAGGACATCATCATCTATATCACCGTTAACGTTTCTTCGTGCTATACTGTTAACCATACGACTACCAGGAGAAGCCAAGTTTGATGGTAAGATGCCGTCTGGATACTTTTCTTTGATTTCTAATTGTAGTATAGAATGCCTTAATTTCTTACATCGTTGATTTGAGATTTTGTATTAAATGTGTGAAATGACTTTTACGTACCAGCTATAATATCTTGCTCATGGCTGTCTTTATATTCTGGATATGATATAGCTGGAACAACGTTGTTACGCGTCTTTTTGGCAAGTTCTTCGGCAATAAGAGCCTTTAATTAAAAAATCAATGTTAATGCGTATAAAATCTATATTACCTATGTTTATAGATCATATAACAAAATTTACATGTTTAAAATCCGAAAATAAATTTTCGTAATCGGCTGGATCTGCCAATGCTTCTGCTGCTTTCTTTTTGTTTTGCTTCTCAAGTGATTCTCGCCATAGTTTTACAACTCTTGAAACATGGCTTTTATATTTATATATTTTAAGATAAATACTCTTGTATTAATCGTAGAAGTGCCATGAAAAATGTAGACTCTGACAAACCTAGGAAGATATGTGCGGGCAAACATTGCAGCCTCAGGAATACGATCAGTTTTTATTAACAGATCTATACAGTCTTCGACTTGACCGAGTTGTAGGTAGCATACGAACGCCACATTATTCTTACCTTCTGAAACTATATTAAAACTAATATTAGCTTCAAACATGCAAGATATTAACAAAATACAGGAAAAGACTGTTCGTCCAAGAAAAGAAAAATCACCAGCTGTTTCAGCTAATTCTTTTATTCCTTGGGAATTGCCAGAGGCAGTATATAAAAGCAATAAGCCACTAATATCCTTGGCTTTTTTGAGGCACTCCTCAGCTAGAGAGAACTATTATAAATTATTATAGCATCAATTTAAGTTGGATATTGATTATAAGGGTTTAATCATAACACAAACCTTCCAGGCACTCAAAGCTGAATCACCAATTGCTTTCCATTTTGCGTCAGTACCAACTTCACGAGCAATTTCCACAGCAACGTCGAGTTTATTGAGTTGAATTGCAAGCTCAAACTTGTGTTCAATATCGGTTGATACTTCAAGAGCAAGCTCTTTTAAGTCTGTTAATAAATTATAAGTATTTTTTAATGAACAATAGATAGATATTTTATTCTTAAATTAATTTGTCACCATACCTTGGCTCTCTAAAAATCTTGCAATTCTATTCCTTTGATCCGCAGGGATCGAAGGAAGCAATTGTTCAGCTGTTTCAAGATCGTTCCGGAGAATTGCGGTTTGATATTCAATAACAGTCAAGGAGAGTGCATAACTATAGACATTGACATCCTATTATAACAAATTACCCAAATTAATCAAAATTGGTATGTACTTATCAAGAATAAAGATAAAAAGTACCTTGTCCGCTAAGTATATACGATTATCCTTTGGAATGTACCCTAGTAGGTACATATTTCTAAAATTACAATAATTAAATTGAGTGAACGTAAAATATTTCGATATTCTTATTAACATACTTACGTGTCAAAATGACTAATAGTAAATGTCTGTGCACCAACAAGATAATTCAGGCGATTGGCAGTATTTGTATAAATAAAACAGTCACCAACCCACGCTCCCGTTTTGATGCTACATGAGAAAAAGTAGTAACAAATTGATAAACTTTAAGGAATTGAGAGATCATCAACATTGAATTCACCTTTCTGGAACCTCTGTCACGAATTCGAAAGCCTGTTCGACACCTTCATCGCCAACTTCACCCCCACTTTCCAAAAATTGTACATAGGCTAAGCGGTTAAAACGTAAGACATAGAAAGTATCCTCGCAGGCAATGGCCACAAGGTCACCAATATCTGACCAATGAACCTAAAATATTGAAGATTAAAAATACAAAATTGTTAAAATACATGCATTTACATCTTAAATAATATATAATGATTTTATCGAACCAGCTTACACTTTTCGGAATGACATCAATTCTTCTCACGACTAAAGCTGTTTCCCAGTCATACAAATTTAAGAATGTGGAACTTTTTACACCTAATAATGTGCCACCAAAAATTCCTTCAACAGTAAAATTGACTTTTAAAGCATTGTTTCTCTCCTTGAAGTTTTTATAAAGTTTGATTTTAGTCGCAGACTCTCTAACAGCGTATCTTTTAAAGATATAATATGTTAAATAAAATAATAAGTTCGGTAATAGGCAGTTTTATATTTATATGTTAATAATACTCTTACTCGTTCGAATCTAAAGCCCATACAAATTCAAGCCCATTACCAAAACCTTTGTTTCTCCAAGCCAACGCAGTATAAATAATGTATTCGCCATCCCCACAAACTACCACGAACCTGCACGTAAAAAAAAATAATAAATAAACGAAGAATTCAAAATTATAAAAATATTCAAACAAATCCCCACCTTCCGTTCGGACTGTGCTGTAAAGTTTGAGGATACACTTCACAACTACCCAAGTCTTTGATGGGTAAAGGAAGGCGATCACCATCTCTAATATTATCATCTGTCAAATGCGGTGAATAAATTAATAAAAGCTTTGTAAAAGTTGATATCACGTCTTATTCAAAAATTAGTTGCCATACCATGACCAGCCTTTATATTGGCTGTTTGAATTTCATTATGTTTTGCCCAAATTATTTTCCCAGAATTATCCATACTCACTGCCGGTTCTTCACGCCCTAACTACAAATTCATGACAACCAAAAATTGGTCTAGCTTTCGTATGTCTAGAAAAACCTCATGTTCATAGCAACTAAACAGACCTTAACACAGACTGCACCTTCGTCATAACCAAATGCAACAATATTATTGCCTTTCTGGTAAGCTACAGTCCAGGCGCGTTCTAGACCATAATTGAGAGTATTCTCTAAACGATAAGTATTAGAATGCCAAATCTTTATAGTACCATCTTCGCTACCAGAAATGATTATTGGCAATTCAGGATGAAAGCATGCAAATGCAGCATTCTGAGTATGCCCTTCTAAAGTCTGTACGCATGTCTTGTTTTGATAGTCCCAAATTTTAACAAGTTTATCATCGGCAGCTGACACAAGATATGGTTTTTCTCCACCGTGATAATATTCTACCCAATTCACGCCTTTTTCGTGACCCTCAAGTGTAAAATTTGCAACAGCTGATCCGAGTGACCAAACTTTAATCGTACGATCCAAACAAGCAGATGCGAACGTATTCGAATCCTTCGGATTAAAATTGACATTCATAACGTAGTGTGTATGGCCCTCAAATACCTAAGATTATTACAATTATTTTAATAACACCCACGAACAATGAGTCTAAAATTATATTATAAAAATAAAATAAAAAACCTGAATACATTTCCATCCTTTTTCCCAATCCCATAATTTAATTGTCATATCATCAGAACCACTCAAAAAAAAAGGTTGCGTAGGATGTATAGCAATGCAACGAATATAATCAGGATGAGCCTCAAAGGTTGTAACCTTCTCGTGTGTGTTATAATTAAATACGCGTATTTGCATATCATCTGACCCGGTAATTAGCCAATTTTTTCGAGCAATAAACCTTGCTGCACGAACTGCAAAAATAAATAAATAAATAAAATAAAATAAATTCACCATTTGTTGAAGTTTAATTAGTTATTTATTTTTCATATAATAATTGTAGGTTACCTGGCACATCTGTTACTTCAAAAGTTTTCACCAGGGCCTACATATTTTTGGTTTTTTAAATAAATTACATCCATAATTAGTCAAATAATATTGAACTACGCATTCGTAAAAGAATGATCATTATATGTAAGGTCAATTTATATTCATTCGCCAAAAGCAAGATTTACTAGATCAAAGATTCAAAGCCTGGTCGTAGCAGTATCCTTTTGTCTCTCACATCAAGACCTTGCCCTAAATAATATGCACATATTTAAACAGAACAGACTTAAAATGTACCTGCGTTTCGTAGTTCCAGATATTATTTGACTAATCATGGATGTAGTTTATTTAAAAAACCAAAAAT